AATTGGAACCAAAAAAGGTCATCATACTAATGTCAGCTAAAGGGTGTCGCACATCAAATTGCATCACGGAAAAAACGCTGTAGAAAATTAACCATTAGGTATTTTCTCTTGAAAATTTGGGTAGAAGTAGTTTAGAGTGTATTCTTTACACTGTATTTTTATCGCTGCCAGTTATTCGAAAGTTGGAAAAAATGGCGTCACCCGAAAAGCAACGTCACAAATTGATTTTACGCAAGCACCTGGAAAATCCTCAAATCTCTCATCGGGACATCGGAAAACAACTCGGAATCGTGCAGTCAATGGTGAGTCGTGTGATTAAACGTTACTACGAAACTCGGAGCATCGAACGGAAGGAGAAATGCGGTCAGAATTCTATTAGTAATCAGGATCACAAGCATGTAATGAAAGCGTTTAAGCGGAATCCCAATACGTCGGTCAGGGATGTAGCCAAAAAGTTGAATCACACATCAAGTAAAAAGGTTTTCGAAAGTGTGGAGAAAATTTGAGCCTAAAATATTAAGAAAATAGGCCATTTTTATAATTTGAATACCTTGCTGTAATCAGTCTGTTTACTGTAGCTTCTGTAAACAAATAAAATGTCAGCAAACATATAAAAAACTAAATTAAAATTCCTTCAAAATGCCGTGCCAAGATCAAAAATAGCTTCCTTGGTTGTTTTCCTTTGGTTTGTTTTTTTCCGTCGATCTTGTTTTCCGTGCTGAGCACCAATGCTACCGACGTGCCAGGAAGGCAGCTCCCACACCTGGACCCTACCTATCGACCCATCAACTCATGAACCGGGGACCAACGGCTTTACTTCCCATCCGAAGGAAGGCGTGATCAGAGATGTTATGCCTCAGAACTTCCCGGCGGCGCCGACTGGGATTGAACCCAGGCCTGCTGGGGTGAGAGAACTTCCTTGGTTGTGAAGTAATCTCTTCTTAGAAATAAAATTTCTAAAAATCTCGAAAATCCAGGGTTGTAGTCGGATAAAGGCACTTAATAGCCAAACCAAAAAAGTCGTTTGTTCAGAATGCCAAAATAAGCTTTTTGGCAAAGTTTGGTTCAAATTGGTATGCTGATCAGTTCTCTCTTTTTAGAAGCATCTCATCGGACAAAACCTCACAAATTTAAAAAAAAAATCAAGTCATAAAGGTTCGGTGTATCCAGCAAATTGATCAGGTGTATAATATCTGTGTTTTTACATTATTTGTTTTGATCTAGATCACTCCATTTCGATCTAATTCAGCTTTATCTGTTGAGAAAGCACTCCAAAGTTTTCCAGATAGATGAGAGCTATTTTTTGATACCATTAGAACTGACCTTGATTACTAAATTATTTTGATCTAGATCAGTTATATCTTTTTAGAAGCATCTCATCGGACAAAACCTCAGAACTCCTCTAATTCAAGTAATAGTGGTTTGGTGTCTTCGACAAAGTTGTTCAGGTTAGAGTCGGTGTATAATGAGTCACGCCAAGAGTGAAGTCAAGTCTACCTATTGAACTGTCAAACCGGCTACCTATCGTGCAAAGTAAACAAGCATTACGATGCTACGAAAGGTCCACGAAAGGTATTGCAATCTATCTATCTATATTCTTCTTCTATATATATAAAAATGAATTTCTGTCTGTCTGTCTGTCTGTCTGTCTGTATGACCCTTATAGACTCGGAAACTACTGAACCGATTGGCGAGAAAATTTGTAGACAGGGGTTTTTGGGGCCGTGGAAGGTTCTTATGATGGTTCGAGACCCCTCCCCCTTCTGTAAGGGGGGGCTCCCATACAAATGAAACAGAAATTTCTGCATAACTCGAGAACTAATCAAACAAATGGAACCAAATTAGGCATGTGGGGGCGAGTGTGGGGGTATAAGGAGATAATCATAGGAGGTAGCCCCTTAGATAATAGGGAGAGAGGGCTACGTACAATACAGCATGCTTTTTTTTTAAATCGGCGCATAAACTCAAGCTAATATTGAATCCCGAGCAAGACCGGGCACACTCAGCTAGTAAAATATATGCGGTGAGCTTTAAATAGTCATGGGATACGTTTGGTAATGATCATAAATGAGAATTTCTACTATTTTTTTAGATAATTTAACAAAATCACTGATATAATGATTTACTACAGCAGCTTTTTTTTTTTCTCGAAGTCATTTGAAATTGATGTAGAAGTCCTCTGTTGCCAAGTGAAAAGAAAGGGAATCTTTCGAAAACCGTGATGCGAGTTCAACTGTTTTTCTCTTGGCTAGACTCATTATACACCGAATCTAGTTCAGGTAAATAAGATCTATCTTTTGACACCATTTGTTTTGATCTAGATCACTATGTTTTGATCTAGAGGAGTTCTATATTTTGAGGAAGCACGCAATTAAAACAAAATCTTCTCCAAAATTTTCTAGATCGATATGAGCTATCTTTTGGTACCAGTAAAACTGACCTTGATTACTAAATTTTGATCTAGATCTGAAGCATCTTATCGGACAAAACCTCATGACTACTCAATTTCAAGTCATAGAGGTTTGGTGTCCTCAACAAAGTTGTTCAGGTGAATAATATCTATCTTATCTTATATCATCATATCATCATCATTTATATCATTTGTTTTGATCTAGATCACTAAATTAAGATCTAGATTACCTGTATCATTTGAGGATGCACGCTATTGAAACAAAATCTTCTCCAAATTTTTCCAGTTAATTAAAAGCTATCTTTTGATACGATTAGAACTGACTTTGATTGCTAAATTGTTTTTATCTAGATCAGCTCTATCTTTTGGTAGAAGCATCTTATCGCCCAAAACCTCATAACTCATAAAGTTCAAGTCATAGAGGTTTGGTGTCTTGCGTAAAGTTGTTCAGGTGAATAAGATCTATCATATCACATGTTTTGACATCATTTGGTTTGATCTAGATCATTGCATTTCCTCTAGTTCAGCTCTATATTTTGAGAAAGCACGCTATTAAAACAAAATCTTTTAATATTTTTCTTTCAGATAGTTAAGAGCTATCTTTTGATACGATTAGAAATTACCTTTATTGCTAAATTATTTTGATTCAGATCAGTTCTATCTTTTTAGAAGCATTTAATCGGAGAAAACCTCAGAACTCCTCTAATTCAAGTAATAGAGGTTTGGTGTCTTGGGCAAAGTTGATCAGATGAATAGTATCTATGTGTTGACATCATTCATTTTGATCTAGATCTCCATATTTTGATCTATACCAACTCTATCTTTTGAGAAAGCACGCTTAATAGCAATCAAAATCTTCTCGAAAGTTGTCAAGATAAATAGAAGCTATCTTTTGTTACCATTATCACTGACCTTGATTACTAACATGTTTTGAACTAGATCAGCTCTATCTTTTAGTAGAAGCATATTATCGAAACAAAACCTGCGGCACAGTTGTTCATGTGAATACAAGCTATCTTTTGGCATCGATGGTTTTGATCTAGATCACTTTTTCAAATCGTGATCAGTTCTATATTTTGATAGAAGCATGCAAGTTATGCAAAAACAATCAGATTTTGATTAGTTTATGCTAGATTCCTCAGGGCGAATGGTGTTAGTTTTGTCCTTGTTATCCTTTAGTATAACTAAGGTTTTTAAATTAGATTCAGCATGACTTTTCCTCTGCGAAAAATAGCGAGCCACAAAAACTATTTCAGAGGCCTCCCTTAGCTCAGTCAGTAAAGGTGCAACTACAAAGCAAGACCATGCTGGAATTTTTCGGGTTGGAAAGTTTCTCGACTTTACGGGCATAGAGTATAATTGTACTTGCCACACAATTATACTAATGTAAAATGGTACAGGCATCGAAAACTCTCAATAACTGTTGAAGTGCATCTAGAATACTAAGTTGAGAGCACGCAATAAGCTAAAATGTGATCAGCAGAAAGCTTAGAATGTGAAGAATAAGAAGAAGAAAACAAACCATTTCACCTGTCCAAAACATTCCCAATCAATGGTATGACTCACATGTATACTAGAGCCACGTTGTGAGAAAATTTTGAACTACTGTCAACCAGCCAAAACGTCTTGACCCCCTGAATAAGTTTGCGCAAGACTGTAACTTTCTAGCTGGTCAAGTTCGTTGCACGTGTATACTAGCACCGCGTAGTGATAAAATTCTGAACTATTGTCAACCAACGAAAAGATCTTGACTTCCTGAACAACACTGCCGAAAGCATTTACTTTCAATTTGGACCGGATCTAGAGATATTTCACATGTATACTAGCGCCACGAAGTGAGAAAACTCTTAAACTACTGTCCACCATCCAAAAGGCCTTGACCTCCTGATCAGCTTTACGCAAGACTGTAACTTTCTATCTGGTCAGGATCTCGAGATATATTTCATGCGAGAATTTCACATGTATACAGGCGTCGCGTAGTGAGAAAATTTAAACTACTATTCACCAGCGAAAAAGTGATGATCTGCTGAACAACTTTGCGCCGAAGACAGTAAATTTCAATCTGGTCAGGATCTTGAGAAATTCCAAGTCGTATCCAATTAAGTCAAATCCTACGTAGTATGGACAACGTTCATTCGGTTTCCATTTAAATTTTCCCTATTATCCTCATTTGATGGGGGTTTACTGTAATCAAAGTTTAGTTTGTTAAGTTCAAAACAAGTTTTTTGAGGAATACACGTTGGTTTCAGATCGATTGGTAATCAACAAAATGGCAATGGAAGACTTATATGTGTTGTACAAAGTTAGGTACACTTACGCTCGTTCCCTAGCTCAGCTAGCTCAACCAACTAGCACGAATTTCAGTTGTTCGTGATATTTCATGCTGGCAGATGCTGACGAACTGTTTGCATTATGCTGTCTACTTTTTAGTACAGTTATAGTACACTAGCGCTAGCAAATCAGCACAGATGTAAACACTACATTAACCATCTGTTGAATTTCAATTGCAAACTGTCCGCAAGGCTTTTGCAATTCGCGTTACGGCAAAAATTTGCACTAATTTCCAACGATCATCTATCGTCCTTTTCAGAGCCCTCAGCAAGGAACAGGGTGGCTACGACAGCGACACGACGCTGATCTTCCGCAAGAAGGAAGTCCCGACCAGTGCAGCCCTGAGCCCCATCGAACAGAAACAGTACTACAAGAATATGCAGGCAGGCGGTGAAATCCCTGTCCAAGGATTCCGCAAGCCGGCACCCGAAAAGCCCAAAGGTAAGTCACGAGTTCGGGTTTGTTTTCATCTTACCAAACCTGGTTTTACTATCGGTCACAACATCAGGCGGCAATCCTGATGGATTTTGCTCTCACGCCAAGGTGGAGGATTCAACTGTCACAAAGCAACTTACCACTACTTTACAATTTTCAATCCCTCTCTAATCCTTTTGCTCGGGATCGAAACAACAGTCTATTTGCCTTACAGCCTTACCTCTTTCCCATTTCTCTATCTAAGGATTTATCCGATTCAATTCAAACCGCATGTTATTGCTAATAATTCCACACGTAATAAACATTTCAGGACCAGAATGCACAAAACTAAGGCCGGTGTGTGTGTGTTTCTGTGGTTGTGGCGTTTCAATATTTACTCTCTGATAAATTCCAGCAGGTGTTCTGCCATGCCGGAAGACTCCTGCGTTGTCGTAAATTTTCTGCAACTAATCCACATTGTACATAAAGAAACATATACATATACAAACATGTGCATAGTGTTGCACGCCTGCAAGGTAGACTAACAGAGTAGCACAATGCTGCATGTCCGCTTGCAATTCAAAGCCGGTTATCGGAATCGTAAACGATAATGGCTAGGTATGTGGTCCAAGGTGGTCAATTTACACATAAGCACGTGTAGGAAATTCTTAGCCGATTCAGCATTTGCACATTTTACACCCCCGCACTTCACCTTCACCCGTTTTTGCGTTCACACGTTCAGCACAGTAGATAGCTAAAATAGATGATTGCTTACACTAAAGAGTTCGATTTAATCCCGTCCCGGCGGCAGTCGGGGGCAGCATTCTAACCCTACACCCGTTTGATGGCACCAAAGTGTGTTTGTGTTTATCTGCAGCCTCAGCGTTTTTGTAACAATGAGTGAGCCACATTGCAGCAGCAACAGCAGCAGCAGTAGCAATCTACAACCAAGGTTAAGGTGGGACTATACACATACGGCACCAGAGTGTTAGTACCAAATACAACGAAAATGCTTCAGCGTTCCAAAAACATGCTTCTATTCCCCAACAGATGGCGACAGCGAACTGCAGGTCCAGATTCAGGAGGTTCTCCCTACCATGGCAACCAATCCATTTCTGGTTCCACCGCAGGAGATCACCTGCTATCCGATCACCAGCATCTCACGTCCGCTAGACATGTTCGGGCCGTTTCCGAGGGAGGTCAGATCGTTTGTACCGGTGGCACCACCTGCACCTCCGAATCGCAAGTCTTCCCGCAGCAACTCCACGTTGCGGATCATGTCCCAAATCAAGACCAAAAACTACGACAAGAAAACGGTTGTGGAGACCAGCAGCAGCAGTGGCATGGGGACCCGAACCCTTCGCAAGATCGATCAGTATAGATCCAAATCGGCTGGACCGATCTTTGCCACTTCCTACGTTGCTTCCTCGATCAAAGAGGAGAAGAACCTGGAAAATAGCACCCGCGTAGCCAAGCGATACACGTATCGGGCCAGCTCTAGCAGTCCCGTCAGGAAAGCTAGTCCAAGTCCGGTTGCCTTTGGTAGAGGTATCTCCAAGGAGAGAACCTTCGCCGAAGAGAAGAAACGCTTGGAGGGGAAGCTGCCGAAAGTTTGTGGCAAGGAAGTCACCGTCTCCACCAGCATTCTCCGCAATCCGGAACTCAAGTCACCGAACGAGGTGAAGAAAGCCCTTCGTAGTTCGTACCTTCCATTGGTTATCGATAGACCTGAACGCTTCGCTACGACGTCCAGAGCTCTCCGCCGTATTTCATCCAACTTCAAAAGTGCATCCAGCATCTACTCTTCGAAGCAAAGTCTCAGCAAAGCCAGCACTTCCTCCGTTTGTGGAAAGCCCCAGGAAGACAAAGCCCTCAAAGTAACCGTTTCCGTATCATCTCGCGGTAAAGAACTGGTGCGTGCCTCCACCACTCAGAAACCCCAGAAGACCAAAGGCAAAATTTCACCTACCATAACCATCAAGTCCAACATTCAGAAGGTCACCAAAAGTCTAGGCCTCAAGTCCAAGACTCCATCCACCCAAAGCCTGGCCCGTACCAACTCAACTTTCTCCATCGATTCCACCAACTCGAAGCGCAAGTCCCGTGCATCGTTCATCCCCACCAGCTTCACCTCAAAAAAGTCCAACCCCTCAAATCCGACCACCCGCAAAGAACCCAACAAACCCTCCAGAAAATCAAAGAGAATCGAGAGCTACAGCGAGCGCATCGTCCAGCAGAACGACCTCGTCCGGACGAATTCTTTTTTCCAGAATCTATTCCTGAGGAAATCCTCACCGGCTCCACCCGGGTGCAACTCCGGAGCCGATCCACCTCAGACCTCGTCGGTCCGGGAGAAGGCTCGCTTGTGGAACAGCTTATCGGCGAAATCCGAACCCTCGTTGAAGCAACCGAACTACTATCTCACCCAGGCGAAGCCCGTATCGTTATCGAAGTTCAAAACCATGGATACCAGATACGGTGGATGCCGTAGCGGTGAGAGTCCGACCATGGATGCCGCCACAACCGGTGAGGTCATCGAACAGGTTCAGCGGTACGAGTCTTTGATGCAGTTGACCGACGAGGAGGAAGAGTTCGGGTACTTGCGTGGACGCAGCATGAAGATAGACTACAGCTATCACGAACGGAGCAAGAGTGAACCACCGGTACAGACTTTGATCGCTGAAGTGGTCCAACCGGATGCTCCCAGAACCATTTTGGGACGCAAGTCAGTTGAATATTCGCAAACAACCAAGCGCTCGTCTCGTTCCCCATCCTGTAGACGCATTCAGCACCTAAAAGGGGAAGGACACGTCAAGAAGATCGTACGCGCACGTAGTCTGAGTACTACGGATCGCAGTGCGAATCAGTGCTCGGATGAGTTGATTCGAAGCCACTCTATGAACCTGGGCAGCTACGAGAAGCATGGTCCAATTTGTCGTCATAGACGATCGGATCGGTTTCAGGATTTGAATGACTTCTACTGCAGTTTGGAGCGATTGGGTCAGCTCGAAAAGGTGACTTCGTCGACGGATTTGCGTCCACGACGTAAGGACGAGGAGATTATTGACTTTGATTTGTGGAGAAAGGTTCGCGATCAGGAAAAGGTGGAACGAGAGTTGAACCAACTGCTGTACCGGTTGAAACAGGATCAGAGGGACAAGGATCTGATGTTTTTGGCACACGATCCGGATGATATCCGTTGGAAGTATGATTTAGATACGGGGTTGAGGAACAAAGAGAAGTCCGTGGAGGATTTAAAGGGCCAGTTGAGCAAGAAGGTGTTGCATTTCGAAGAGTTTACCAAGAGGGAGTTGGATACGAAGAAGGATCACTACAAACCACTGTGGAGGGGATCATCGGTGGTGGATGTTGCTTCGCAGATGGCGGAAAAGTACAGCGGATCGGTATCGCTGGAAGCGGACAAGCGATATGGTATTAGTAACAATCTCTTGAGTACGCTTTCGAGCGATCAAATGAAGAAGTTGAAGAGTCAACTGACTGAGATCTACTGCAACAAAGAAGAATTAAAGGCGGTGGCTAAAGAGGAGTACGTGATTCACGTCCCGGAAGAGAGGAGCAAGTCGGCTTCCAGTACGCTGAAAGTGCGGAGCAACTCAGTGCTGACTAAGGATCAGGTTAACGAGGCACAGTTCAAGCCAAGGCTTGAGAAGGAAAGTAAAGTCGCTGCGATCCAGAAGACATTCGAACAGAAAAACAGGCAGGAAGCTCTGTGTCAGGAGCTGAAGAGTAAGATCTTGGAAAAGCATGCCAGCCATACACTGCCAACTATGAAGAAGAAGGAACGACCGTCCATCCTTCCACAAAAGGAAGAATATTTTTCGCTGCAAACGGACTACCGAATGATGCAAGGTGGACTGAAGTTTGAGGAAGCTAGAGAAGAAGTCGTTATGCGGAAGGCGAGACCGCTGGACAGAGAAAGACCGCATTCGTATTGCGAAACCGAGAGTGTTTCTTCGGAAACGAGCAACAGGACGGTGATTTTCAGGAATACATCTGACGACGTCAAAAGTAAGATCAAGTACTTTGAGGAGAGGCGCCAAGAAGATGAGCCTGCCGTAACGGTTTACCATGCTAGGGAATCATCGACGGATGAGGACGACAATGCTAAGGTGTCCGAGGAACGAACCATAGAGGTCAAGACATCCCAGGGTGTGTCACCGCTGTTGAACTCCCAGTCCTATACAGATTTGAAGGATCTGTTCGGTGAGAAGCCTTCGATGACCTATTCGTACAGCTATCAGGAAGGCAAACGGTCTCCAAAAAACTTCACATTTCGTTCGCGTAGCTCAACTCCAGAGTACGCGACGTGCATACAAACTGGAGAAGTGAAGAAGATTAAGGACCAATTCGAGAGTTTGGATGCAAATATGTGGAAGCAACCATCAAGAGACACCAGTCCTCGGCAGTACCAGAGCGATTCCGAGTTGAACCGCCCATTTGGAGAGAGGGAAAGTGCTAAGGCCAGCAGGAGAATCACAGTCAGACAGCACGAAACCGGGGATGTAACGAGGATGACTCACAAATACGAAGTACAGTCGCGAGCGCGTAGCCGGAAGAGGAAGGAACGGGCTCATTCGCCGATTCCAAAAAACCCGCTACGCAGGGATGACCGCTTCATGCCGCACATCAACGTCATCAGCAAGACGGCATCCCTGAAGCGGGAGATCAAGAGCGCTCGTTCCCCGCAGAGGGAGCGATCAACGAGCGGCGGTTGCAGCGGAGGTCGTGGAGAGGTCGAGAAGATCAAGAGTAAGTTTGAAACGGTGGAGAACCTGTCGATATTGGGTAAGATGTACACTTCTGTTCCGGACATTCGCGAGCTTAAAGATATCTCCAACTACCTTTCCGGTCCCTGGGTAGCGCACCAGTATCCCAAGCCCGCGGACAATGCACGCTCGATCACTGCACCAGACCAGTCGCCCCAGGGGCAGAAGCCTGGCCGTCGTCACCGCCGCCGAAGTGACAAGCTTCGATCCTGTTCCACCTCACCGCCACGACACAAGGACAAACAGGACGGGACCGCTTTTCTGAAACAGTTCTACGACATCTTCGCCGACCAGAAGTTCGACCCGAGCATTCATCGGCCGAAGTATCGCTACGTCCCGGACCGGCAGCTGAACGCAGAATATCTCTGGAAGAAGATTCAGACGATGACTGGCGGCGGCGGTAGCGGAGGTGGTTGCACTGCCAAGGCTTCCGTCACCTTCGAAGGTTCCCCGTTTTGTTTGAAATGACTTCTTCCTTTCGAATTGCACCATACCATTTCCATCTGTAGAGACACACCTACTTCATACATGTATACGTGGACAAAGGGGCTCGACATGCTATATCAATGCTTCTACTGACCGAAGACTACAAATCGTGGAGTGGACACTAACCGTAACCGCTTAAGGTTCAACAAACCATCATTGTTTTTTCAATCATCATCAAAAAATTAAAAGCAGTTTTTTCATTCAAATTCAAAATTCTGCAAACGAAAATGTCATCATTGCATTCTACTGGCCTAACGGAACACAGTGATGATATTTTCATTGGCAGAATTTTGAATTTGAACGAAAAAACTACTTTCGATGATTGAATTCAATGATGGTTTGTTGAATCTTAAACGAGACTACTACTTTCGAACTTCTTCTATCCCTTCATCTTTTTCTTTCTGTACACTTTCCTTCTTGTCCTATTCTCTTCTAGCATCTAAGTACTGTAGTTCCTTGAGTTCTCATTGTTTTTGTTCGATTACCTCCGACCTTCCCATTATTCCCATCATATAGAATTTAGTAACGTGCCTCCAGCGCCTCCCATGAAAGGAACGCCACTGCCCAACTCCTCCTCCCCGTACTCGAAGAGCTCGAACGAACCAGGTGAGTAGAATCCTCCGGATGCAACATCATTCATTGCTCCTAGTTTTAGAAGTTGATAAAATCCCAATTTTACCTAGCAAGGTGTTCACATTCGTAAGGTTGTAAACAAACCACGCTGTCACTTAGAATTGAACTACCTTGCGAGTGTGAACAGCTTGCTACCAGCATGGATGTAAGTAAAAGCATTCTAGATCGAATAGCATGCACCAAATGCATGTAAATTGGTTAGAAAATACGTAGTACACCATTTGACAGCTCCCTTTCAACAAATTTGTCTCATGTCACAAGCCGCACGAATGTAAACAAAATGCGACCTCACGGTCAGGTGGAAGCCATACACAACGGTTGGTAAAGCAAAATACCGCAAAAGAAAATTACTTCACGATGACGAATTGCCAATGCTAATCGGGTGTCACCCTTTCCAACATGTCCAACGCCCAAGTACCACTGCGGCACCATATCCAGAGCATAGACCGACAGGCAGTGTAAAAAAAATGATGAAATGAAATTGACGATAATGGTCAATAATCTCGGCTTCTCTCGTCGTTTGCTTCCCTTCCGGCTTCGAGGTGGGCTTGGAGGGAAGAAAAAAAAAAGTGCAACGACTGCTGCATCTTTCACAACACCCATCGCACGAACGAACGGACGGACAAACGAGGAAGTCGTTGTCACTTCACTTTCACGAATGGCATTTTCTCGCCGTTTGCGTCTCTGTGTTGCTGTCGGTTGCTTGGCAACCCGAGTAAACCACAGACGAGGGCGCGGATGGATTTGAGTGCACTCACTCGAAAAAAAAGTGACACAATGATGAACACTAAGGATTCATGACAAATTAATTGCCCGCAGCTTGGTCATTTTTTCTCTAGTTAGTGAACTCAAATTAATCGGTGCATTCGTCTACTGTAGCTTGATTGTGTTCAAATGTTGACATTCATCACAGTTAGTTGGATTCTCTCGAAGCTTACTATAGACGAGTGCACGGGTGAACTTTTGTTCATCTACTGAAAAAAAAATTGACACAACAGCGGGGCCCTGTTTACTAAAAATGAACACATGAATAATGCTCGCGTAAATTTTGAAAAGGGACTATCAACTTTTGGAAACAATTTGCTAAGTGTTTTTCACGAGAACCGAAGTACGCCCACGCAAACTAAGAACACTATCCGGAAGGGGAGAATTTCCCCTACCTGATGGTGTTGTTAGTTTTCGTGAGCGTATTCGGTTGGCGCGAAAAAGGCTTAACAAGTTTCGTGTACATATGTTTATAGACCCGTTTCAAATGGTACGCTAGTATTATTCATGTGTTCATTTTTAGTAAACAGGACCCCGCTGTCGTGTCACTTTTTGCCGAGTCTGCGAACTCAAATCCATCCGTGCACTCGTCTATAGAATGCTGCACGCTTACTTCACGAATGAACGCGATGAACCTGCATTCATCAGTTTGAATCTTTAAAAAAACATTTTAAAGAAATTCAATTTTTCTATAAGTCCATATAAACAAACCACCGCCAGATGTCAAAAGAAGTTAGGTTAACCCGATGGTGCAGCTCCCTATAGACGAGTGCACGGATGGATTTGAGTTCACTCACTCGGCAAAAAGTGACACAAAGTGGGCCCCGCTGTTGTGTCACTTTTTGTCGAGTGAGTGAACTCAAATCCATCCGTGCACTCGTCTATAGTCCTCTCCAGCCGGGTTCGTATTGATGCGATTTGCGTGTGTTAGTGAGATGAAATTTTTTGTTAGCTGTGAGAAATTTTTTGTTGGCTGTAAGAACTGTCATTCTAAAGTAAAAATAAACAACATAACGAAAACAAACCCTACGCTTGCACGGTAACAGTAGCTAACAGTTACTACTTACACTGATAGGCAAAATAAAGTGCCCACCCCATCATTTTTTGAATTTCTCTCATTTATTTGGTTCAAATTAAAGTAAATACACTGTAGTATTTTTTATATCTTATTCTTTATATTCTTTTTAAGTTTCACTTATAGAATACCAGATAAAAAGAAGAGACTGACTCGAAGAAAAAAAAATCAAAATGGGTGTAAAAAAGAACAGTGACAAAAAAAAGTGCCCACTGCATTTTAACTCCAGAAAACATAAAATAAAGTAAAAGAATACCAGCCTAATAGTTAATGTGTCCTCCTTTGGCCTTCAGGACCAGCTGCAGGCGCTTCGGCATGCTCTCCACTAGATTCTTCAGGTGCTGTGGATCTAGTTCTTCCCAGGCGCGCTCCAGGGCTTCAAAATAGTTATTTTTATTGGTAACACCAGTTTTGTCAACCCTGGCATCGAGAATCGCCCACAAATTCTCGATGGGGTTGAGGTCCGGGCTTTGTGGAGGCCATTCCAGTGGTTTAATTCGACATGACCGGAAGAAAGACTTAGTCTTCTTGGCAGTATGCTTCGGATCGTTGTCCTGCTGGAATACGAATTTCTCCTCAAGGCCCGTCTGGATCAGCGAAACTTCCAGATTTTCCCGCAGGATGTCGATGTAGGAATCTGCCGTCATTATCCCGTCGATTTTCACCAGGCTTCCCACTCCACCCCACGAAAAGCACCCCCAGACCATCACATTTCCTCCTCCATGCTTCACCGTGCCTTGTATGTGGCGCTCCTGAAGCTCCTCACCCGATCTACACCACACACGAACCCGTCGCTTCCGGTTGAACAGTTCGAATTTTGATTCGTCCGTCCAGAGAACCGTTTTCCAGAACTCTAGGGGCTTATCAGCATGCTCCTTAGCAAACTTAAGCCGTTTGACTTTGTTTGCCTTGCTGATAAATGGGCGCTTCCGAGCAACTTTGCTGTTCAACCCCTGTGCTACGAGACGGCGACGAACAGTTCGACTGGAAACTGTTAGCTGAAGAGCCTCCTGGATCTCGCGGACAGTTACCTTCGGGTTCTTCTTCACTTCACGCATGATCTTGGTGTCCGTTCTCGCATCCGTTTTGCGCATCCTGCCTCTGCCAGGGCGATCCACCACTGATCCGAACGATTTCATTTTCTGCAGAATTTTCCCGACCGCTGTTTTGCTGATATTGTACTTCCTAGCGACAGACCGGTGCGATTCACCGTTTTGCACATCACGAACAACCAATTTTCGGATACACACGGGAATTGCTTTCGAAATCACTACGTCCTCCATTTTTTTCAACTGATTCAAATGCGATCACGTGTACAAATGCACCAGTTCCACCCGTTTGCTTCAATACATGTCAAACTTTCAAAACAAAAACAATCGAGGGGTTTTCCGATGGAAACTTATCGAAAACATACCGATTTTTGAAGTGGGCACTTTTTTTTGTCACTGTTTTCTTTTTCAATCCAAATTGATTTTCTTTTACTTCAAGTAAAACTTTATATTTTCAGTATTCCATAGGTGTAACTTTAAAAGAATAATAAAGGTAAGACATCGAAACAGACTACGGTGTGTTTATTTGAATTTGAACCAAATAAATGAGAGAAATTTCAAAAATGATGGGGTGGGCACTTTATTTTGCCTATCAGTGTAATTGGCATAATGAATTACTCATTAATTAGTAGTGGCGCTTTTATTGACAATGGGTTCACTTTTAGTCATAAATGGAAGTTTGATTCTTACCGTGCACATGACAGTATACGCTAGTGTGTGTAAAATTATGTTATCAGTGTAGTGTTCGTGAGATCCTGCTTGGAGAACTCAATAGACGCGTACACAGATGAATTTGAGTTCACTCACTCGACAAAAAAGTGACACAAACTGTGGGCAATGTCAACCAATCATGAACACTAAATGTTCATTATTCATTTTTCATGAACATTAAGTGCCCGCAACTTGTGCCACTTTTTCTCAAGTGAGTGGCCTCAAATCTATCCGTGCACTGGTCTATAGGATGCTGCACGCTGACGTCACGAATGAACGCGATGAACCCGCGTTCATGAGTTTGACATCCAGTGGAGGTTTTCGCCAGATATCAAAAAAGTGAGATTAACGAGATAGTACCACTACCTATGGATCCAATCATCATTACCGATTCATAAACCGTTGGTGTCAATTTTTAATCGGGTCCCCGCCGGGAAGCCCGGACTGTCAAACTCCTTTCCAAAGCCGGTCGGAAACACGTGTTCGCTGCGAAACGACAAGCACCCGGTCACCATCAGCTTCTCTCGATTAGGTATGCGAGTTTTGATTATGTTATCTACGCACACCTCCGTGTCTCGTCTCTTGCATCCGCCGTTCGTTTTTGGCTACACTGAAGAAGACTGCATGTCCAGTTTCTACATTCAAAGCTAAGTAGACGTCGATTGTATCTTTTCCAGTTCGGTTAGGTTATAAAACAAAACTGTTTCCGGACGACGACGATGGTGGCAGTTTCATCAACCGGTCAGCATCAGCACTCGAGTTTATTTCAGTTACTGTGGGGACGTAATTTGTGATTCGTCGCGATCACTTTCAAATTGTCTAATTATTTATGAATGGCCCTTATATTTGAAATGACGTTTCACATTCATCTAGTGATGTCGGATTTTTATTCGTATAAAATCGATTAACGAAGCGATAGTTAAAATATTTGTAATCGGTTGCATCTATCGACATAAACACCAGAGGATCATCATCCATCGTTTCCAACATGTTCTGCACTCTGCAAAAATAGTTGTTAATATAGTAATTAAAAAATGGGACATCTCTGATTTTGGTGTGATTAGGTCTGTTCCCGTACTTGCTATTTTGCTTACCCTGTAGGTTGCTGAAGCTTTCAGAAAGTTGCTGTAAGAATATAATATAGTGCAGCAATTACGGGAACATACTTTTGCTTTTTGCTGCACAGAATCTTACAGAAAAGCTAGTACGGAAACAGAGCTATTGATTTAATAAAAAAAAAGTGGAAAATACCGAGGGGGCAGCATAACTACAAAAACACCAATACCTCCGTATATTTATTGGATGAATTGTTAGAGATTTATTGGAATCTTCTATGGGATTTCAAATAATCCCGTCTGAGACTCTAAGGAATT